GAGGAAGGGGTGATTTTATAAATAGATGTATAAATAGATTTATAAATCGGTAAGTCTAAGTCACACTGATGAGCTGCGATACAGCGAAACAGTCTGTCGGTAAATGACTATATATATATATATATATATATATATATATATATATATATATATATATATATATATATATGCGCTGTTCACATCATCTTTTTTTATTAACAGTCCTTTTACTGAGGTATTTTTTCGACATATCTTGATGACTCTCCGACCAGAGAGACTTCATCAGTCTGTCCAGACTTCCTCCTTACATTCTCAATGACGTGCCACCATTAGTAACATTTTTGATACCATCAAAAGTAAAATTTCTGATTTGGATAGCATATTAACGTGGCAACAGTATGAGAAATAAGCAACAGATTTTCAAGACTCAAATAGCTTTTGAAAAGTTTGTCATTAGATAATTGCACACTGAAAACTCAACATGCAATTCCCACGAGTAAATATAATAGCCGGATACATGTTTCCGAGCACACATGTCCTTTAGGGCGGCTAGCCAAACTTTCTTGACACCTATTCAGACACTTGTGTTTTTTCAATACCCACAGAGATCACCTGTGGTTTATATTGCAACTATGCACCCCAAATTTGGTTTATACAGCAACAATGCTGAGCGGACCCTAGTAGCAGTTTCTGAGAAGGAGCCTTAGTTACAGTTTTTAACAAGGTCATTCCGCTTAAAAACTCGGTCACGATGACTTGAGACTTAGTGCTAACACAAGCATCGACCATTCAAACAGTTTAGTCTACTCAATTTCAGTCACATGGCTTATGTCAAATCGTGGTCTAATTTTCAGGCCTGAGTCAACTCGTGGCATAGGTTTGCCGCAAGATGGGATCGCCTTCCCCGGCCAGTAACCTCAAGATATCATCGCCTTAACAAATCTACTATGCTGTGAAAGCGAAAGTTCTAACCACTCGGCCAGGCGCCCATAATTCTCATGATTAATTTAAAAAAAAATAACTGTCAAAGCTTTAAAATACAGCAATAATATCGATGCAACAATAATATCTATAAATCGATATTATCATCCGTTATGCAAAAAGAACCCATGCATAACATCAGTTGAAAGTTCTAAGGCATATACTGAGGAAAAAAGGCTTAGAAAATCTGATACTCATAGGATATATTGTGGTAGGAGGACAGAGTCAGTTATGTGTCATGCGTGATACATGCGTAGGCGATAATGTATCTTTCGATACATGACTGACGAGGCAGATTTTTTCCCGCAGTAGGTTGCCATTTCTTTCTGGCGGTAGACCAGTTACCATCCAAGGCTATAGAAACCGGTCTGTCCTGCTATTTACCTTTAGCTGGGGGAAGAAGAAGATTCATACCTTTCCCAAAGCACGTAAGTGAATGTAATGAATTCGACTGGAATTGGAACTCGGCTCTCCGATTCCTCAAACCGAGCCGCTACCCATTACTCCACAGTGCCTCACCGTGCACATAACCTACCTAAAGAGTTTGTGTACATGGAGGACAGGACAATAAATAGAACATATAATAAACTGACAAACTTTATTAAGAGATGCAAAAGACAGGAAAATGTGAAGAGCCATGATCGTCCACGTCCTGAAACACGTAGAAGAAAAAGTACAAGAAAAAAAAAAAAAAAAAAACTCAAAAAAACTTTGCTTGAAAATTCTTACTTTTTAAACAAAGAAATCGGCGCATAGTCGAGAAAGATATTTTGTAAGCAGAAACTGGGCACAAGTTGAAAGGATGTGGGCTGTGAATGATGGAGGAAATAGATGGCTAGGGCCCCTGATGCCAGATTTAGAGAAGGGAAGATGTATGAGGGGTAAGTATGGCGTCCGTCTGGGTTGGGTTGATGGACGACAGCAAGGTGGGGCGGTGAGAACTCTGGTATATGACAAATGTATACGTAGAGCGAGAAGGAGTGATGTATGCCTGGTGGCAGAAAAGATGGCGGTTGTGGAAGATTTGCAGCGAATGAGCGGGAAATATTTAAATTAGGGGAAGGAAAAAAAAGAAAGAGGTAAAAAGAATACAAAGGAAAAGAGAAAGGAAAAGAAAAACACGAATGGAAAAAAAAATAAAGAAATAATATTCAGAAAGAGAATCAATTAAAGAAGCCGGGAAAATAAAAGAAACTGAAATTATGTGTAAAAATGAAAGAATGAAAAAAGTGGATTGAAGAAGAAAAGAAAGAGAAAGGAGAATAAAGGAATGGGGAAAGATTGTGCATGAAATGGAAAGAAAAAAAGAAAGAAAGAAAGAAAGAATAAAAATAAAATATTAATAGAAAATGATTAAAGGAAGGATGATAGGAAGAAAGAAAGAAAAGGAAAATGAAAGAATTAATGAAGATTTGTAAAAATAAAATTTAGAAAATAAAAGAGAAAAATGAAATAAAATAAAAGATGGATATGAAAAATATATGAATGAATCTTATAATAAATGGCGAGAAAAAATGCATGAAAATTACGTGTGAATGAATCAATTAATTAAAACGAAGAAGAAAAATAAAGAGACAAAACAAGAAAGAAAAAATGAATAAAACTGAAAAGAAAGAAAAAATAAAAGAAAGAACGAAAAACGGAGAAAGAAAGAAATGTAGAAAGAAAGTAGGAATGAATAAAAATGAACGAAAAAGAAAGAAAGGAATGAAGAAAGGAAAAAATGAATGAATGAAAAAGAAAGAGAGAAAGAAAATAAAGATATAAAGATGAATGAAAGAGTGAATGAAAAAAAAGAAAGGAAAAATAAAGAAAGAAATTGTAAAAAAGAATGAAAAAGAAAAAAATTATAAAAAGATGTAAAGTTACAGAAAATTAAATCTAATCATTGAATTTTGTTGTCCTTAATGTAAATGCGTTGACTCTATCTTGTCATAATCAGGAAAACTCATTCTTGCTATAATCTTATGATCTATTTCGGAACTACACCTGTCACCTGTTTTATCATAAGCCAAAGACCTAATCCGAAACTTCCAAATATGAATGCTTAAAATTTAAATAAACAAATAAGATTCTGATTTTTTTTAGTAAGGTTAATAGTAAGTCCAATTTGCAACGTTCAACGTTCGTTTTCAAACACCAAGTGCTTGCTTGGTGAGTTTCATGGCTATTCACTGGTGTAGGGAAAATCTGCATACGAAATCTATGACACTTTACTCATAAAAACTAGGAGATATACGTGCTGTAAATTAGCAATACAGCAACGGAATAGCGGTCGCGGGGTTTTCAAGTTGCCTGAAGCACATTACCATAAGTTCAGCTCGGAATTTCGATATATCAGAAAGAGCGTATTAAATAACAGGGTGATATAACATTTAAGACAGACGAAGAAATAAATTGCATCCTGTAAATTCCATCTCACACTACAGATCGACTACAGAGCCCTTGTTGTTATATCTTAATATTGTATTAAGGAGACATCTCCATTTATTACGACAGTAGCCAGATCGACAAAAGTGATGAAAATGGTGTGGGAAATTTGAAGACATTTAATGTCATTTAATCTCAAGCGACAACCACTAAAATCATGTGGTGTCAACATGCAAACGAATAATAATAATAATAATAATAATAATAAAGATGTTCTCACGAATATAGCCCACACCTTACGAAGGGCTTTATCTATGTAAAATATGTTTGTTTTTTTTAATTGGTCAGTGGAAAATGTCATGATGTCATTTCTAACTTTAGGTCTCTGGGCTGGATCTGGAAAGAAATGAGTACACACCAGAAATCAAAGGAATACTACTACTAATAATAATAATGACCCTATCAGCAAAAAACGAAGCGAATACCATCTACGCCAAACGAGTAAAACAGAAACAGCTTGGCCAAATGAAATTACAAAAAACTGTGATGACAAGGCGTTGCATGGCAAATACTTAAAAAGAACGAAAGAAGCAGATGTGAGCCAACAGAAAACACATCAGTGGCTGAAAGTTGAGACAGAAGGCCTAATTATTGCAGCTCAGAATCAAAGTCTCGCAACCAGATCCTATCACTGTCACATAATCAAGGATCGAACTAACCCAAAATGCAGGATCTGCGGAAAATATGATGAAACTGTCGACCATATTATCTCAGAATGTCCGGAACTAGCAAAAAACGAATATAGCCTGAGACATAACAAGGTAGTTAGATATGTGCACTGGAAGATATGCGAGAAGCATAAAATCGAAACCATTGAGAAATGGTATGAGCACCAAACACAGTTACCCAAAATAACGATGTGATTATCCTCTGGGACATGCCAATTCAAACTGACAGGGAAATAAAAGCCAACAGACCTGATATTATCATAAAAGACAAGACATTCAGTAAGTGTATGCTTATTGACATAGCAGTACCATCTGAGAGAAATACCTCCATAAAAATTATCGTGAAATTCTCCAAATATAAGGATCTGGAGATCAAGATTAACAGGATGTGGGAAATGAAGACTGAAACTGTACCAATAGTAATCGAAGCTCTGTAGCACGTGAGAAACGGAATGGACGATTTTACTAACAGTGTCCCAACATACAATATTTACATTATTCGGACTATTGTCCTCATCTTTGTCGCCATATTTATCTAACCAACGCCTTTATCTACTAATATATCCATCATTTTGAGTCTAATAAGGGCATACATGACACATGCATGACTGTCACATGTGCGCGATATGCTGACAGGTTCATAACTTTGCAATTGGGGCCCAGTTAGAAATACCTTCAGGTCGGGAAACCCAATCTGATCAGGCGTGTTCCCAAATATATATGGCTGCTTCACCCTTCAAACTTAAAGATAACAAACCTTACGAACTCCATCAAAATGCTCTCCCATTACTTTCACTCATGAACAGAGATGCACAGTGTGTCTGCACCCCCTAGTGGACATGCCGAACTAGTGTAGGCCGGGCAATTCACAAGTCTGTGGTACCGAATAGGATATTTACTGTAGCCCATTTGGATTTGCAAATGCAAAATGTTTACATGTTAACGCTTCCAATCAATTAAGATCAGAAACCATGAGAACAATGTAACATTAGGAAATAATAATAATAATAATAATAATAATAATATTCACAAATACAGCTGACACCTTACGAAGTGCTTTATCTAGGTAAAATATGTGTGTGTGTTTATTTTTATTTTATTTTTTTTAAATTGGTGAGTGGAAAATACCATGATACCATTTCTGACCTTAGGTCTCTGGGCGAGACACGGAGGGGGAAATGTGTACACACCAGAAATCAAACGAAATAATAATAATAATAATAATAATAATAATAATAATAATAATAATGTTGTTTGTCATGTTCAAGCATAGCACTTTTTATTAAAGCTCAGAGTGTAGTATCTGATCAATCCACAGTCCCTCTAAGCCGGAACAAGGTATGCATTCTGACCGAGGAACCTGCATTATAAAATTAAGAGGAGAAGAGTTGGGAAAAGAGAGACAGAGAATTAGGATTTAAATGAAAATGAAGATAACGAGTTTATATATATATATATATATATATATATATATATATATATATATATATATATATATATATATATATATATATATATAATTGTGTATTTGTGCAGCAATCCCTTTTTTATACAAGTTTCATTAAAGACGACTGACAAGATACTGCCATAAATCTTTCTATACAATTTTTCTTGCACTTGTGTAAATGCTTTCTTTCTGGACATAAGGTTCCCTACATAGAAGCTCTTTTGGCTATTCTTTTAAACTTTGTCAGGGATGTTTTTTCCATTAACAGAATATGGTAAATTTATATATATATATAAGTATCTATAGTGATAGGAATATTTTAAAAATTTTCCAAATACGATGAGCACATTGTGACCGTTTTCACAGTTGATATTATTGCGTGTTGGCTTTATTATTATTATTATTATTATTATTATTATTATTATTATTATTATTTAATCCGTTTTTACATGCTATTAGTTTTCACATAATTTATGTCCAGAAAAAAAATAAAACAAAAAAAAAGACGTGTACGAATGCAAGAAAAATTGGATAAAAAGCTTAATCGCAGTAAGTAATAAACTTTTATATATATATATATATATATACATATATATATATATATATATATATATATATATATATATATATATATATATATGTGTGTGTGTGTGTATATATATATATATATATATATATATATTCCAAGGGATGGAGTCAAAAGGAAAGGACAATGAGAAAAAATAGAAGGATATGTAGGAATGGAAAAATATAAATATTATTGAAATACATTAATATTCTTCCTGTTGATATAGAGAAAAAATAAAAATATTTCTACATTTCTTATTGCTTTTTCACATTTAATACTAGTTCATGCTTGTATAAAAAACGTTATATATAAGTTCAAATTGGAAGGGATAAGGGAGTAAATGAGAAGATACATGTAACGTGTAAGAGCAGAGCGAAGGTATGAGATAATGGATGATCTTAGTTGTATTAGAAGGGATAAGGGAGTAAATGAGAAGATACAGGAAAAAGATCAGAGAAGACCAGAGATATGAAATAACGGATAATCTTGTATTCAAAGGGATAAGGGCAGAATGAGAACATACTGGCAAAGGGTGAGAAATGAGGTATGGAATAATGCGTATTGTTAGTTGCCAATATCTATGGAATGTCCATGAACTCAGTTAGTTGTTGTTATTATTGTAAATGCTATTTCCAAACAATAAAAGAAAAGAAAGTTCAGTCTCTACACACATGCATTCATTCTTATACAGCAATATTACACTTGCCGAATGAGCAGAATTTCAGCCACTTTCTGTGAGTAGCAGGCCAGAATGTTTACCAAAGAAGCAACAACCAACATAGCAACAAAGATAACTTTTATTATAAACAAAGAGAAAACTGATCAGCTTCCATTTAAGAAAAAATGCATCTGGCTTAAGCGGACGCCACTTTCCGGCCAATGAAAAGCAAGTATTTCGCGTTTTATAGTTCAAGAGTTAAAATGCGCCATCCAGACTCTGGTTTTTGTGGGATGCGATTGTTATGTTGGCTAGAAAGGGATGGGGCGAATAGAAACCAGAAGGTAGCCTTAATTGAAGTTCTTGGCGTAATTGGAAACCCTTTCGTGACGTCACGTCTTACACTATCATAGCAATCATGTCCGTTGTTGTCATAGCCGCAATTAGCAGAAGGTGAAGTCGTGATGTGTCGATAATAAGTCAGAGATGGACTCGGTCGGTTAGCACTCCATTCATTTTTTTCTCTTCTTCATTTCCCTATCTCCCCTCTTCCTCCACCTTTTCCCTACTCCTCTTTTCTCTTCTTGTTCATCTGCCTCTTTCAACTTTCTCTTCTTTTTCCCACCTCCTCTTTCCTCATCCTCAGATTCCTCTACAACTTCCTTCCTCTTCCTCTTTTCTATTCTTTTCTACCTCTTCTCTTTCTTCTCTCTCCTTTCTTTCTCTTTCCTTCCCTCCTCATAATTTCTATTCATTCATTAGTTTCTTATTTTTTTATTCAATACAGTCTTTTTCTTTTTACTTATATGACTGAAATAATTATTTTTAAACTCTTTTAATTTTTCTTATGTTTTTTGTCTCCTTAAATTTAGTATTTTCTTTGTCTCTTTCGTCCATTAGAGATTCTTTCTTTTCTTTTTTCTTGTATTCCATTCATAAAATGCTACCATTCTTTACTCTTTTTTTCTCACCCGCCATTCTTATCCTTTGAGCTTTAACGATCGAGTAATGCCAACGCAAATTTTTATGGCAATAATGACTACTTGTATTTCATTATTCTAAAAGTGCGCGAAAGCTTAACAATAAAATAGCGGGAAAAAGAAAGTCGCCAAAATTGAAAATTAACCCCATTTTTTCTTGAAGAATTCTCAAGGGCATTAAATTTAATAGCTCCCATCATGTAATGAAAATTGGATACGTGCTGGAGAAAAGATCTTGAAAGATAATATAAGGAAATATTTAATGCTGAGCAGTCAAGTAAATGAATAGGTTATTGAATATTCTTCAACGACTATTCTATTTAGTGATCTATGACACAGATGATGTTGGTATATGCCTTTGCAAAGAAGTTAGTCACAAAAATGTTAAACGCAAGATACAGAACAGTGAAGAAGAAGTAAGTTCATTCTGTCTGTAAAATGGAAAGCAAGCTTTTATTCTTTCGCTATTCTCTGTCACTTTTTCACGTCTCATTCATTTTCTCTTATCAAATGTAGTAGGAAGATTTCTTTAGGGACAAAGAAAAGAGTGCTGAACTGGTATTGAGGCAACAGAGACGGAACATGTGAGTAACAAGGAAGTTTTAAAGTAAACGGAAATAAAAAAAAGGCCTCTTATGCTTAGAAACTGTTATATAGGAATAAAGTGTCACTGCCGATACTTGAGTTTGAACATAAATCACCAGTGAGCAAACACAGACGACACCATTATTGAATTAATAAACCACGTGACCATAGAGGAAACGCCTATATGTAGGAACTAGCTAACGATCGCTATTTCTATTCTATCCTCTATTACTATACGGACCGCTATTCTCTACTCTATTCACTATACTATTTCTCAATTCAGATCACTATACAGGTTACTATTCGAGCGAGTATTATCGAGTAAGTACTATTAGTGCGAATGTTATTCGAAGGTGTCTGACAGTATTGTTCAACGGCGTTACTATAGTTGTATCTGCGATTACAAAGTCTCTTCTACAACGATCATTACGAAAGTGACAACAAGTATACGTTGACATCACAAAAGAATCAGAAATAGATAGTTGGAAATTGCAGGAGAAGTAATGAGAAAAGAAATCTTGGAGTATTTGACACACACAGGACATTGAAGGGAAGACAGACAGAAGGAAACAGCGAGTAACCGACCTAAACAGCTTGTGTCGATGGATGGCAGAACGGAAGATGGAAAAAATGTTGAAGAGACAAACCTTACTAAGAGCTACAAAAGAAATTGTGGAGAAACATGATCGTCCATGCCCTTATAGGACACGACACAAAATAATAATAATAATAATAATAAAAAGAAGAATATTCAGTATCAGTGTAGATGATATACTAGGTGTAACAGCAAAACTGTCCAAATCGTGTAAGAGTCTGGGATAATGTTTCATCCCATGAAATCTTTAATATCTAAAAAAAAAAAAAAAAAATTGAGTTTCTTTTACCATGTTCTTGAAATGCAGGCGTTAACGTAAAGACGTAAATGCTCCAAAATGTTTTTCGATATCGATTAGGCTGAACGATTTGTGTTTTGCAGGGATACTGAAAACCTTTTGATAATTTAGTAAGTACTAGTTCATCACTTGTTTTGCTGACGACAAAACGATCAAAATTCAAATATAAATTGTTTGTCCATTTAAAATACTACAATTATTAGACAATAGATTCAGTTTAAATACAGCAGGAGTCAGACAAAGCTATTCCAAAGGGTCACACATTTCAACTCTCCCTGTTATCCAAGCACAAAGAGAAACTAGCCCTTCTGACAGAAATGCTCATTTCAATTTCAATTATATTGTCTGTGTATGAACGTTTACGTTTATGCATGTCTGTTATATTTAAATATATTAAAATTATTATTGAATTAAATATATTAAAATTATATTTGAACTGAATATATTAAAATTATATTTTATTTAAATATATTAAAAGTATATTTGAATTAAATATATTAAAATTATATTTTATTTAAATATATTAAAAGTATATTTGAATTAAAAATATTAAAATATTTCTACAAAATAAAAAAGTTTAATAAATAATTTTATTTATTACCGAGTAATTTAAAAAAGTTATAATTATCTGACTTTCATAGAATATTAAAAATATCTATTTATTGTCTTGTCTTTAACTTAATGATTTTGTTGCTCAGCCGAGTGCAGGAGCTGTCGAGAGACAGTGGGAGGGGGATATATTATTCCAATATCTTATTTAAAACTCAGTCAAATAGTGTATGTATGAGTGTGTGCATGTGTTCGTGTGTGTATTAAATGACACAAGGACAGGTAAGTTATTCTCGCACAACACGCATATATGCTTAGACATTGAATATTCGCATGCAAAGTCACACACATGTCATCTTTCATAGATTTCTAATCTTTCATATTATTGTCATAATTTGAAGTGCATCCGTCAAATATGGCTCCACATAGATTCAAAGCTATTGGAAAAATCCCAAAAAATGTTGCTAAAATATTAAAAAAAAAAAAGTAGAAGAAGTAATACACGCCATCTAAAAAGAAAAGAAAAAAAAAATTATTGGAGTAGAGAAGAGATATGTTGATTTGTAACAAAAGTCACCGAATTCAATTTGTAGGGAAAATCAACGTGTACAGAATAATAAATCTACCCTTGCTGAAGATAAAATTTTCAAATGGACTTCATCTCTTTTACCAATCTCCAAGGTTATCAAGTTTTTATTTAATGTTCACAGCTTGCTAAAATTTAAAATAAAAAGGGAAACTTTTTCCTGCTGTTTCCATTGGTGTGTTGCAACAGTGTCATCACAATCGACTTTTTCGTTCCGTTTATTGATTGGTTTGGTCTTTCGTGGAGATTTTTTCTTTTTTCCTACCAGACCAAATCAATTCATCACATAGAAGGGAAGATCAGGTAAGGAAAGAGAGAAATAAATGTGGTTCGGGGTGAAAAGGTAAAAGTATTAAAGATGGAAGGAAACGATAAAGGAAATCTGAGAGGGAAGGTGAAGAACATTCGAAAAGAAAGAAAAAAAGCAAAGAAAGAGATGAAAAAAATGAAAATGAAAGAAAGGAATTAGAATGAAAAACAGGCAATTAAAAAAAAAAGAAATAGTAGTAAGAAGGAAAACAACAAAGACGAAAGTGATTTAGTAAAAGAAAGAAATAAACGCGAAAAGAGAGAGAAACGAATAAAAACAGAAAAGAAATGATCGAAAAAGAATGACATTATCTTAAAGAAAGAAAGATACAGAAAGAAAGAAATAAACAAAAAGTAAGAAAGATGGAACTGAAAAAGGACATGAATTTGAATAAAAAAAAAGAGGCAAGTAAAAAAGAAATGGTAATACAAAAGGCAACAATGGCGAAAGTGATCTAGTAAAAGAAAGTAAGAAATCAATAATCAAACAAAAAGAATGAAGGAACGAATGAGAGAGAGAGAGAGAGAGAGAGAGAGAGAGAGAGAGAGAGAATAAAAAGAGGCTAGAAGAAAGTATAGCAAGAAAGAGGATTTAGTAAAAAAAAAAAAATAAAACTCAAAAGACATGTTATGAAATGGGATGCAGTTAATTATATGAAAAAAATTACTTGGTCCCGTGTAACTTAAAATGGTAAACGAGAAAAACTAATTATGAAGAAAAATGAACTTCTGAAATGAATTGTGAAAGGAAAAAATACAACAGAAAACATAAACAAGATTCGCCGTTGAAACAGACGTTATTTTTATATACATATATTTAGGTAATAATAGGTTTGAAAATGATGAACAGTAATAATGACACACGTTTTAATGGTACAAGTGAAACAATAGCTCAAGCGAAAAACAGACTTTTTAAATAACTTAAAAGAAAACATCAGTAGCTGTTTAATTTTAAGCTATTTAAATTTAAATTTCTAATCATAGGACTTTATTTACTTCCGTTTCAGTTGTCTGGGAACCGTCAACTACACATCATTAATCTCAGTGGCTCTATCACAACCACATCACGGAAGTCATATTAAATAGTATAGGAAAAGAGAAGATTTGCTTCCAAGGATACATGGATATAAAACGGATTATAAGATTAACAACTATCAGATGGAGATTTTTTTCCCTATCTTTTAATTTGGGCCATTTTTACCGGCGCCATTATTACCTAAATTCGGTTAAAAACATGCTACTGTGTGTGTAAGTATTAAAATCTTTCGGCAGGTGTCTTTTTCTATGATGGATTCCTTCAGGACGTTGGCGATACTGGCTCTCCACAATTTTCTGACTTTTGTAGCTCTTAGTAAATATTGTCTTTCCGCTATCTTTCTTGATCTCTGTTCTACTCAAGTTCGTTAGCTAGGGAATACGCTGCTTTCTTCTGTTCCCCTTGCCTTTAGTATGCCCTGTGAGTATCAATCTTTCCAAGCCCTCTTTCCTCATTATGTGTCCTAGAAATTTCAACTCTCTCTTTTTGATGTGAAGTATAAGTATCCTTTTATTTTCCATTTTCTCTAAAATTTCGTCATTACTCACATGTTCAGTCCAAAGTATTCTCAGCATCCTTCTATAGAACTGCATCTCTATTGCCTCAAGTTTCTTCCTCATCTATGAGGAGATTGTCCAACATTCACTGCCATATAGGAGGGCTGAGATTACATATCAGTGAAAAGGCGCTTAGTGTATTATCTTTCTTTCTTTAAGTCTGGCTTACTTGCATGTTAGTTCTGAAAATGTGTTTAGCTGTGTAAGCGTCGGCAACTGATTTTTGAAGTCCTGTTGTATACGTGTCTCGGTTTGCAACCCCTGTCTCTGGAAGACCGGATCCCAGCCCCACAAAGTTTACTCGAGCGGTAAAACGTGGACGGTTATTTTTAGAAATGATGATAGAGTTGGGTCTTTTCTTAGAAAAAAAAATAACAAAACAAAAGAATTTCATTTTAAGAAGTGATGAAATATCTCCTTTTAGGGACCATATATAAAAAGGAAATATATTTGAGTTGAGAAAGAAATGGCAACATCTTCTTCTATGTGCCGTGTCCTTTCAGAACGTTGGTGATCATGGGTCTCCACAATTTCCTGTCTTTGAAAATTTTGTCTTTTTGTTATATCTCCTAAAAACTGTTCTGTCATTCATTTACACAAACTCGTTAGGTAGGTTATGTGTTGTTTTCCTCTGTCCCTCTTGCCTTCAATATGTGCCGTGAGTGTCAAGTTTCCCAAACCCTCTTTCCTCAGAATGTAACCTTGAAATTTCAAATGTCTGCTTCTGATGTTTTGTTTCCATTTTCTTTAAAACTATTTATATGTGTGTGTGTGTGAACGAAAAAGAGAGAGAGAGAGAGAGAGAGAGAGAGAGAGAGAGAGAGGGAGAGGGAGAGAGAGAGAGAGAGAGAAATTCTAAATTATAGTCTTTATGAGCACATCATTGACTATTTAAAATAAATTGACCGATGAAAACATTCTATTCATTATCTCATCTCTTTGTTAAATTTCCAACGGCATGGAGAGCATGTCAGCATTTCGCTCAAATTTTGCATCAGGTTATTTTAGTGGGCATTACTGGCAACTGACAAAGCAGCAATTTTGTTTTGGTTGATAATTCCGACCAGCATATTTCACCTATATATTCTTCCACCCATTACTTTCTCTCGTGTTAATGTCACTAGCAATTCCTGTCGATGGTCAAGCTTAAGGGTGAAGATACGTGAAAAGGGGACTGAACTTTGGTGTCTTCCATGAGTTTTACTGAAAGATCTTGGGTGCATTTTCCAACCGTATGAAATGGGACATTTCGGCTAGTGGTGCCGTTAGTAAGTGTATTTACTTGACCTCCCCCCACCCACCGAGTCAGGTTGTGACACAAGGTCAGTTTTTAACGTGGGAACCCGAGTGTTTTCACTCGGGCCACTAGTCTAAGCTGGTCTTAGCTGGTCATAGCTTGTCCAAGCTGGTCAGAGCTGGTCTAAGCTAGTCATAGCTTGTCCAAGCTGGTCAGAGCTGATCTAAGCTAGTCATAACTTGTCCAAGCTGGTCAGAGCTGGTCTAAGCTAGTCATAGCTTGTCCAAGCTGGTCAGAGCTGGTGCCGTTAACGCTCTGTGTTTCATCTGTAGGAGTAATAATATCATCTGGAAAAACAGAAAACTCTTTGCGAATTTCAAAACACAATACTGTTCTTTTCGTAATTAGTAATTAGATGGAAACTGGGCTCTTTTTTTATTTTTACGCTCTCGATTCAGATGCTAGTAAAAAGAAATAAAGAATACAATAAATGGTATGAAAATGAACGCTGATAAAAATCGATTTATCAGCACGTCTATTGAAGCAATTGTTTTTAATAAATTTCTTTTTGTGAAATTATGAATGGCCAGCTGCGACAGTTGCTGAAATATAAAGGTAAAAAAAAGAAAATAAAGCGAAAGAAAAAAGGAAAGAAAGTACAAAAAAGAAAAGGAAAAAATTAAAAGAAAGAAAGAGAAGCAAAGAAATAAAAGGAAAAGGGGAAAGAAAGAAAAAGAAAGTGATAGAAAGGTATATGAATGAAAAAGAAGTAAAAAAATGAAAGAAAATAAAAGAAAGAAAACAAATGAAAGAAAAACAAAGAAATAAATAAAAAAGAAAGAAAGAAAAAGCGAAAGAAAAAGAAAAGAAAGAAAAAGAAAGGAAGAAAGTAAATGCGAAGGAAGAAAATTAAAACGAAGGAAAGAAAATCAAAGAAAGAAAGAAAGAAAATGCAAAAGAAAGGAAGAAAAAAAAAGTGTGAGAGAGAGGGTGCTCGTGCTGTTACCACGTATAAAGCTTTTAAACATTTTTAAAACATTGGCCTGTTTTCATCAACTAACCGAATCGCCATTACAGGCGAAAAATGTATGTACGATATTCTGTGAGGGCAAAGGTCAATAACTACAAATATATCTTTCAAAACCTCTCTTAAAAAGCGCACAAAAATTTTTTTAAATTTAAAAAAAAATACGGAATACCAGTAATGCAATAATCACGAAATTGGTATTTATGCTTAAGAATAAGTTGTTTATCCTTATTTAACCAATAGCTTAAGAATATAATCTTTTATTCTATACAATTTTGTGAAACTTAAAAAAAATAAGTAATTTTATATTTTATACTACGTTAGTAGTTTTTTTAGTTAAATGATACTTTTTAGGAAAAATAAAAGCAGTGTAATACACTGCTTTTATTTTTTTATTATTTTCTTAACAGTTTGATGTCATAAAATATCTAATTGTGCCCAATGTGTTTTTTTTTAATTATTCTGAATTTAAAACTTACTAAATTATCATATATCATATTAGACTTCCGATAGGAAAAAATACTCAAAGACAGTAATTCAGAATTATTTCCTTTTAGAGCATCCATACAAAAACAATTTAACAGTTGCTACAATGAAAAAAATTAAATTCTTAAAAAAAAAAGCTTCCCACTCGGAAATGACATTAAACTTTACATTTTTCGATTCATCAAATATGTATTTAATTTAAAAAAAAAAACAATTCTTCTTGCGAATAGCAACGTGATGAATTTCAAAATCGCATTGAAAAACTATGAGTTTTTAAAAATAAATAAGTTTAGACTTTTTCTGTCCAGTTTGAAAGAGAATAAATTTTTATTAAATTATGCAAGTACCAACTCCACCTAAAAATATTTTTGAGTTTTATTAAATTATTTTAAAAAAATCTGTGACTAATTTTCCGTATGTCCACTATCAATAAATCTTTTACTGAAATAACATCTTCAAGAATGTTTCTTTACATAACTGAAAAAGAAAATATATCGTAAGTTGTGTGAAATATTCCCCAAATATTTCCACAGCATTTTCTCATAAAATAACCTTTTCGGTATACAATTTATTCATTAATGAATAAATACTGGACACTTTGTTTGAATCGGATAATTCCCTTTTTTCTTTTGGCAAAAAACGAATACATTTTGGTGGTATTTTTTTAAATATTTTTAAAATAGCAGCAACAAAAGAGGATCAATAGTTTATGCAGTAGTATATGAAATAATTGAAAGATTGTGCGAACATCTGCTATTGTAATTATTTACACTAGTCGGACTGTTGCCATATTCACGATGTTTCGGCGGTTGTTCAGGTAATTGGAATTGCGAACTGCGCCCTTTATTTCGTCCACCGGAAGAGATTGTTCTAGTTCCGAGTGCCATGCCTCTTCCCGATGTCTCACTATCAGTTATCTCCTTTGAATTCAGTTTTATACTTCTTGTTCAGATACTGAACTCACACATTTTTGCGTCAAGTCACTGGATTCGAAGCTACTGGGTTATGTATCCGTGAGGACATCAATGTATGAATTTTTGGGACTTGTAAACATCATGTGTCAGTAACTAATTTTTTAAAGGAGCTCATATTACAATTTTGTTGTTATTATTGTTTTTCTCTAGCACTACGTATTATTGTATTCATTTCTATGCTTGGCCGGCTTAGGAGATTTTTGTGGCCCAGCATATTCGTTGATTCCTTAAGTTTTCGTATTCTCTAGTGATGTTCTCTATTATTTTAAACTTATCCTAAAAGGGGACGGCGATCGCCCTTTTCCCTCCATATGTGGTCAACTACGATCGATTTTTCCATTTCCCCTCGTGTTACAGCTTTACGGTGTTCCTGCTGTCTTATCTTAAGGGGGCGGCCTATTTTACCACAGCTCTCATATGCCCAGGATCGTTGTTACATTGTAGGGTACTGCTTATACTGAACATTTCTAAAACATGTGTCTCTGAGTCGCCATTTATGTCTTTTTCTCGATGTTGTAAGCAACAGACAACCCCTCTCTTTACATTGTATGAATGGTGGGAGTTAAAGTTGAGGTATTGTCCGGGGAATGTTGGCTTGCGGTATACGGATGTCTTGAACCCTTGCTCTGTTCAAGATATGTGTACATCCAGAAATGCTAGTTTGTTGTCTGTTTCTCTATCCATTTTGAACTGTATTGATGATCTTATTGGGTTCAAATGATCCAGTAGTAGCTGCACCCCCTCCTGTTGTGACCAGAGTATAGAGGTGTCATCTAAGTATCTCAGCCATAGAGTTGGCTTTAGCGATATGGATTCTAATGCCATTTCTTCGAAGTATTCCATGTATATGTTAGCCATTGCTGGTGATAATGGCGAGCCCATTGCCGATATGTCTGATCCCTTTCCGAAGTGTGTTGTTTGTGTATAGAATGTTAGCATCTCCATTAGGTTATCTTGGTATACTGGTATGTTCTCCTAGGAATGAGTCTAAGGTTAGTCTGTCTCTGACTACCAATACTGCCCCCTCTGTAGGTACGTTGGTAAACAAAATCATCACATCCAGGCTCAATCGAAGTGAGCGGAGTTTCGGATATTGGACAGTGTCTATCCTATTAATGGGTAACTTATATCCAAAAAGAAACGACTCAGAGGGTGGCACACAGAGTGTTGGCAGCTAACAATTGGCCTGAGTGGAATACCATCTTTGGGAATTTTGGGGAGACCATATATGTGAGGTAGCTTGCTGTAACATTGTGACAACTGCCTGTATGTCTTAGTGTGAGTGGTCCTTGTTCTTGATTAGGATCAGCGACAGTTTTTATTCCGTTTTCATTGTTCATTCTTTCTTTACTATAGCTCCCATGGCATCATGACATTTTCCAAAAACACACACACACACACAGACAGAGAGAGAGAGAGAGAGAGAGAGAGAAAGAAAGAAAACGCGCAGACACACACCTTTTACTTAGATAAAGCCTTTCGTAAGATTTGGGTTGTACTCGTGAGAAAAATGTTTGTATTTTTAAATGCATGGGCTTTCAGAAATCTCTTCAATGATTCTACTAGAATCTTTTCCAACCATTCCTTGGGCTCCAACTATAACAGTGATTGTTGTTGTTTCCATGTATCTTCCAGTTTTCCTGTATATTGCGTTTTGTTCATTGCTATTGTCGCATTGTCTTTGTCAGCTGGTAGCATGATAATGTTATCATCCCCCTTCAGAGTTTAGATTGCCAGCTTCTCTAATTTTGCGATGTTTGATTTGAGCGGCTTGGTTTTCTCCAGTATGTGTGAAGGTTCTGAACAACAGAGAAATTGGAATGGCAATATAAATATAACAAAGACATAAATATAAACATAACAAAGACATATGACAAAGACAATGTTACAGTAAATAATAAATGAAAACCTTCAAGAAAAAAAAAGATATTACAAAGAACATATTGGTTTAATTATAAATGTTTGAATCGAGTGAAGGCACACCTATCGAGGAGAATGGAGAATGAGGGATAATCTAGTCATTCAAAAGAGTTTTTTTTTATTTCTTCAGTAGGAATTGTTTTCCAAGACTCAGAAAACAAGAAATTTGAAAGTGCAACGGGTTCATTTTAGTCAAGTCAAGTATACAAATAAGGATCAAAGAATATATGAAGTTCTTTGAGTAAACGAACAAAAAAATCATTTCCACGACATTGATCGAGGTTTTCGTAAGCAGTAAAATATACAAGAAGCTTCTTTGAATATAATATTTAGAACTTTGAGGATTATCCTGGGACCTGACATGGTAATATTCTACATATGAAAATAGAAAAAGCAAAAATATAGCAAGAAATAAATGAAATCAATTAAATAGAAATAAAGATAACGAAAATATCAAAACTATTGAAAATGCGGAAACTAAATAAGTTTGAGATTTGAGAAAAAAAAACCGAGGAGATGAATAATAATAATAACAATAATAATAATAACAATAATAATAATAATAATAATAATAAGAGTTGTTACAATTTTATGGGTCTACACAATACACACAGACAGAACAATTAAATATAACCACCCAGACATTGTTATTAAAGACCGCAAAAAAAAAAAAAAAATGCCTTCTTATTGATATGATAGTCCCTGCAGAGTGTAATGTATCTTTGAAGATCTTCAAAATAAAAGGACCTTGAAATCGAAATAACAAAAATGTGGCACATGGGAACATCAACAATCCCTGTTGTAGTTGATTGGAAAATATTCCAGCAGACTCATTGAAGGGATTCTTAGAAGCGCATGCCGTAAAGAAATACAAAATTTATTCTCACGAGTACAGCCCAAACTTTACGAAGGGCTTTATCTATGTACAATATGTGGTTTTTAAATATTTTTTTTTAATTGGTCGGTGGAAAATGTCATCATGTCATTTCTAACCTTAGGTCTCTGGGCGGGACCCAGAAAGAAATGTGCTCACACCAGAAATCAAAGGAATAATAATAATAATTATAATAATAATCACGGTCAATACACTGTCCGTATGAAACAAGCTGATGTAGACAAACCCCATACCCATCAAAGGCTACGTAGTGCAAGGTTAAAAGCGGAAACCGAAGGTTTTATTCTTGCTTCACAGGACCAATGCTTGCTAACTAGAAATTACCAAAATTGTGTTAGCTCAAAATGCAGATTCTATGATAAATATCCACAAACAATTGATCATATTGTATCAGGTTGCGCGGTATTGTCACCCATTGAATATAAAACACGGTAAGACAGAGTGGGCCAATATCTACTCTGGAAAATCTGCAACTTTTACGTAAGGGAAACTACAAGAAATTAGTATGAACACCACCCAGACCTGCTGACAGAGATAGGACCTGTAACAATTTTATTGGACTTTACAATCCACACAGACAGAACAGTCAAAGCTAATCGCCCTGACATCGTGATTAGACACCACAAAGACAAAATGTGCCTCCTTATTGACATGGCAGTCCCTGCAGACTGCAATGTATCTTTGAAGATTTTAAAAACTATCAAAGTACAAGGACCCTGAAATTTCAAAAAATGTGGCACATGAGAACATTAAGAAATCTAGAAAGAAATGAGTGTATACACCAGAAACCAAAGGAAATAATAATAATAATAATAATAATAATAATAAGAAGAAGAAGAAGAAGAAGAATATTATAATAATAGTAGTAGTTGTGGTAGGAAATTAGAGCCACAAGATGTGGGGTTCCTTTGTTTAGACAAATCATGTTATTGAAGTACGAAGACCTGGACTTAAAGGAAATAACATGGGTCAAATTATTGATTTTGCTATGATTTATAATACAAGAGTGAGCTCAAAAATAAACTTCAACCCCCTTAACCAGGGTTAGGGTTAAGTAATTGAAGAAGAATTGTATATGACTGTATATGACTGTTAAAGTAATTCCTGTAGTACTGAGTGCACTTGGAATACCAAAACACTTGAAAGAGAGCTTAGAGAGAATTGGAATTGAGACCAAAATAGTAGAGGTCCAGAAAACTGCTATCATTTACTCTGCGAGGATTCTCCGAAAAGTTTTTGAGTTGTAAGGTGTCTTGTTGACACTATGCAACAAAAACAAAATTTACATGTGCGACACCAACATATTATATATATATATATATATATATATATATATAAGGCACTGTCCGTTATAAATCAACGGACAAGATATGATTTTAGATTTTTTTAACCTATATACATTTATGAATCTCTTATAAAACAGTTAAAGTATGGATGACTAGTAATGACAATATATGTTACCTTTTTGCCTATATACAATAAAAGATTACCTAAATTTACGAGAACCACCATAGACAACTGATTTATGAATAATCAAGAATACACAACATGATATTATTCTCAATGCTAAACGTATATTTACAAAATTAAACAATGTTATGTAAGTGAAAACTTTCTAATAATAAGAAATACTAGCAGTAGTAGTAGTAGTAGTAGTAATAATAATAATATTAATAATACACTTAAAAAATGAAAAAAATAGCTACGTAGATATATTTCTCACCATTTACATTTAATTATATAGTCTTTTAAACTTACGCCTTTTATAACTGCTAATCGTCTATGGCGTCAAAATTAACCTTAGCCTACCAGGTAACTCAACTTTGCATATATGACCCTGAAGACGATGTTTCAGCTAATTTCTTTGTGTGTATGTCTGTTTGTCTGGTATTTACAAGACGTGCGATAGATAGATGTTCTCGTCCCAGAATCAAAGCAAAAAAAAAAAAAAAAATACAATAACAGAATTCTTAATGCTAATTTTCTAGGTAAGCCCTCAAGCACTCCCCTTCTTAGAAGATTGGCGTAATACAATGTTCAATTACACTTTCTTCAATTTGGCCTCACTTGGTACTGAATTAACCTTAATAAATATCAATTATATTGTGTGATTTGTTTTTTACGGTTTATCAACCTTTTGCATGTTATTAAAAGAAATGTTTCTAGATTGTAAGAATTATTTGGAGATAATAATGATTTACTGAATTAAACCATAGCTGGGTCTGAGAAGAGGTGGATCATACTTTCCCCAACGGTATTTGGGTGTTAGTAAATGCAACGAACCCGACTGGAATTGGAACTCGGCTCAAGGCTAATATCTATTACACCACGCACAGCTTAGTGTACCTGATATTCCCAAGTGTGTCATCCATCCAAGTACTGACCAAGCTGGACGTTGCTTAACTTCGGTGATCATATGACAACCGGTGTTTCAACGTAATATCAACGAGAAGAGAGAAAGAAAGAGAATGAGAAGAAATAGAGGAAAGAAGAAAAGAAGGAAGACGGAAAATAGGAGAAAGAGATTTTCAAAGTAAAAACATTCTTTTGGTTGTAATCTAATTTTCACACAACTATAAATCCCCTAAGAGATTTGAGGTAACACTGACAATCATTTGACTGCATTCATAAATACACTTATGATGTAAATATTAAACCATTTGGGGAAACGATGAAACTCTTATGTTTGCTGCCAATAAATATTAACTGTGCAATTGTCAGCAATAATCTATGCCAACCGCTGACTTCAAAGAATTTCAAACAATTCAGAAACTCATAGTTTACCAACGACATTTGAGAAACTCGATGATGAATTTGCTTCCCAATATTATGATGATAGGCATTGGGTCGACAAGGAAGTTTTCAAAATCTTATGTAGACATTTTTTTTCATTTTCTTTCATCATAGATTGACGTCAGTTTCGAATCGAAGAACGTTTACATTATCTTTTTAACGTCTGTGCCATTTCGAAAGCCTTGAGCATCGACGAAGTTCAACCGGGCGGCAGCAATTGGTTGTTGCTCGATTGGGTGACAAGGGTGGGTGAAGCGAAATGTTTCCCCCGCGACTGCAAGACTTTTTCGCGGGATATTCATTCTGGCAGTTTCATGCAACACAGACTTTTCACAATTGTAGATACTTTTGGTAATTACATCAGGCATCCTTTATAGTTCAAATAGCAATAGATTTGTACGGACTGAGCAGTTCCCAGCAAATAATGCCTTGCATAAACTATCAATCTAATGTAAATCTGATCTTGAACCGAATAGGTCTGGTTGGTCATTACTATTGGATAGTGAATTCGATTCTCACTGGGTGACCGTTACATGTTGCCTTACACCTAACTAATCCAAGCTTAGTAAATTACAACTCTGACTTTGGGGTTGTTAAAATAACAGCACTTTTGTTTCTGTTTTCGCCAATGACGTTATAGCTACACCATATAAAACAGAATATCATTTATTGATACTGGCATTTAACTCAGCAAATAGAATCGTGATTAAATTCTGTAGCTACGCAGTTATCTAAGAAAACTTAAGTCTACTTTAAATTTCTTCAGTTACATCGGGGCATGGATCAGAACACACTCAGTAAAGAGGTAAGGGAACTGAACAGAAAATTGACTGCGCTAGGTGTAGTTTTGACGATCACCCCAAAATGTGAAAAACCAAAACATTACCCTAAGAACTCGAGTCATATTCTTAAATCACCTCGTCAGATTTAGATTCTCATGTGGATGTCATGCATGGCATCCAGATCGTTCAGAAATGTGTAAACTATCACCTATATAAAAATTTTTTTTCATATCAATGCTTAAAAATGTTTTCAAGCGAATGAATTCAGAGGGGTCTCTCGTTGACTTGCGCTACAAAATCAGAAACAAAACCTTTACCAAATAACTGAAGCTACATATCTTGAAAACTTTCTTGTGAAATTTGATTTTTTTTTTTAATGTATTGCTGGTAATTTTTTTTTCCAATAATGTATTGCTGGTAATTTTTTTATTTTTATTTTTATTTTTTTTACTATGAAAATGTATTGTTGATAAATTGTTTTTAATGTATATTTATATTTTCAAGTTTTGACCCCGTTTTGGAGGTTCACTATTTGCCCATAGCTGGGACCCCTAACAGGTGCTATCACCCTGGGAACAACAGCAATTAAGAAGTTGTTCCACGCTCTTAACACCTACCCCCGATCAGAAGCCTTGCTACCGGATGCAGTTTATCGTTATACCCAGGAAGACAAGTAAAATGGATAGCATTCGAAGAGAAATTAGTGACATATTGAAGATGTTGATTTTCCATAGTAATTCAAACAAAAAGTTAGGAACGAAGTCCCGTTCAGTACTATAAAGAGTGATAACATTTAGTTGACTTGAGAAACCTATTTTCCATATAAACCATTTTAAGTGAAACATTTTATAAATTTCAACCTACAGTAATGCTAAAGGAGATCCACATTCAAAGAAAAACCCCAAAGCCAAACACCTACTCACTAATATTAATTGATGTAGACAGTATAGGAATAAACAATAATTTTAGGTACTAGAAGTTTTTTTGCAATACTCGTTAGCGTGTTGAAATCTTCACAGTATTTAGTATTGTTGAAATTAACGATAACATTTTTGTCGAGATTTACAAACTCTAAGTTTCGTTCAATTTTCCAAACCCATCTATGAAATTTGAATAAGCTGATTTGTTTTGGAAAATACAAAAAACCTACTTCACGGTTTCATAATTTCTTTAATTTAATTTAATTTCATAGGACTTCATATTAAACAATATTTTTTTTTAATTTGGTTTCAATCGGTCAAAGTATGGCTATTTTAGAGAGTGTGACGGACAGACTAACAGAAGTCACATAATTTTATACAGAGATAGATAAAAGAATTAGTTTCGTGTTCTTATTAGTCTGTAAAATGATCACATTACATTTTTAGAAAATCCAAATTTAAAGAAAGGCCCTAGTACCACACACCTTATCATCAATATTAATGAAGTCAGAAGAGTAATAAATAATATATTTTTTATTAGTCTGTACAATGATAATATTACACATTCTTCTTTGGGTTTGAAATATAAAAATGCGCCAAGTAAATCCTGTCCAGCGTAGGAGAGGGCGTTCACAACTTTAAAATAATTATTTTTTTTAATGTTGGCCAAGAGACTAACATTATAAGCCAAAATAAAACCTCTCTTGTATTGACCACACCTCAAGCTGAGATCATGTCTAGCTTTTTTTAAAATATTTATGAGCGGAAAAGCAGTTTCGAAATATTGGCCGCTAAAGAAGAGATCAGACGTTATTGTCTCGATAGACATACGTTGTTGGCTCGACGGGCTCAAGTTGAAAGAAAGCCAATCAAAATATTGGCTGGAGATCTGACTCACTTCGAGGAAAAGCAACGCCAACTTTAGAAGTAGAATAATCATGGCACAAAATCAAATTTCTAAAACAACAAAGTTAAAATAAAAATCAAGCGCTTATATGCTTCATATGAATCACATTTTATATATTGTTGAAATAAGTCATTTTTTTTCTGACGAGGCAGATCAATCGCTGAAATATGTCAAAATAAAAGTTTTCCAAATTTTCTTACATATTTACCAATCATGGGACATTATGTTATTTTAAATACAGCTGGAATATTTGGGCGCGTTCAGTGATACATTGTATGTGTATGGTTTGCGTGCGTGAGTGCACGTGTCTGCTTCTAAGATTGTGGTTCTCAGAATAGGATATCTGCCCGTCGATTCCATTTGCTGCGATGGATTGTGATTGAGTCACAATCCAGAACCTAAAGACTGCGTTGTACATGAGACACAGAGTCATGCTACTGGTATGAAAAATATATATATATATATATATATATATATATATATATATATATATATATATATATATATTAAAAATAGGAAAGAACAGTCAGATTTATAATCCAGAGTTCTTTAGCATTTACTTTTATTTTAAAAAAGTGCTCGATACAAAGTAGAGCATAATATTATAATTATTTTTTTTTTTTAAATATGTCTCCATTTTTATTGAAAAAAAAGGGAATTCTCATAACACCACCAACTTAACGTAAAAATAAAGTAAATAAAGTAAATCCAATTCATAGCATCGCTTGAGAATGGAACCAAGCTCTAAATTTTAACTTCGGTTTCGGACCATAGTAATTTCTGTGTCCCGATGGAGATATATTTATTTAAAAAATATATATATATATATATAT